AGTCGTAAAACTTCGACATGTCATAACTTCTTCGTTAAAATCGGATTTCAGCGTTCTTTAGATGTACGGAACCCTTGTGACATATACTATAACTTGGTTAATATTATTCATTCTAAATAATCTTCCATCAAAAAGTCATTTTTGACGCTTATTGTCTCTAAATTGACTAGCCCGAATCTGCGGGCGTTACAACTAACAACGGCCCTGGAACAGCCAAACTCGGACATTCGGCCTTCTTGTGGCCCCTCTGATTGAAATGAAAGCAAATCATATCAAATCCTGGGGTGGTGGTGCTAGCAGTCCAGTCCCTACTGAAATGACTCGTCCGACCGCACTTGAAGCAGCCCGAACCACCCACCATGCACCGTCCCTCGTGCGCCCTGCCGCACTACCCACAGCGGCTTCGGTCCTACTGGCCTCTCGATATCGAATCCTGAACCTTGGCCCTCTTGTCCGATCCCCCTGAAACCTGAGCCTTGTTCTGTCTTCCTCTTCCTCTCCATCTCAATATCAATATCGCTCTCTCGGGCTCTCCTTATCATATCCTCCAGTGTCTTGCAACTAGATTGGCTCACAAACTGTAAAATATTGCTCCTCGACATCTCGTGATACCTCTCGTTCTTCATCTCCTCATATTCCACATACTGCAGAACCAAAAGTGCCCTCTCTCGAAACACCTTGGTGATCTCATCCAGCGTCTCAATAGTCTGGCGGACATCCTGGAACTCTCGCGCCAACTAATGCACCTCAATCACTGGTGCAAATTCATCCCTGAATCTCGTTGTAAAATCATCCCATGACATCAAATCAACAGCCTCATCACCAACGGAACGCCCAACCTCCTCCCACCAGTCTCTTGTCCTGTCCTTTAGAAGATAGGAAGCAAGTCTGACCTTTTCCCCCTCTGGACAACTGCTAGTGCGGGAAGCGTTAGCAACATCTGCTAACCATCGCCTACTCGCTATCGGGTCCTTCTCTCTATAGTATTACGGAGCCCTACACGCCCGAAACTCCCTAAAGCTCAAGGAACACGCTCCTACCTAGGCCACCATCTCAGAACGATAGGAGCTCAAACGCTCATCCAAAATCTCCATTATTCCCTCCTTGACCGTACCAAAGATCACAAGAGCCTACTCAAGAATACAACACATAATCTTAGACAAAATAAATTCCCTCGTCTGATCATCCAACTGCCTGACTCCAGAACCTGAGCTCGAGCCCTCCACAACACCAGAACTGCCAACTGATCTGCCTCACAGAGTCACCATACTAAAAATAGACCATATCAACCATCAGAATATGCATCAAAATATATTCATACTTTCCATATGGATTGCCTTGAATCCGCCAAGTCACTTTATCCATACATTTAACCTTCATCAAGATAAGGCTCCCAACACTAAATCTCTTCCTAGGGCAAACTCCACACAACTCTCGGCCATCAGTTGTAAAAGGAAATCCCACTAACTTCCTCTAACTAGCTCACGAATACATTTACATATCACCAAAACCAGATAATTCTTTGAATGAGAGGTCTCACACTACAACGGTTGAACTCAAACAAGATTTGTGCAATAGATTTAAAACCTAACCTTCTAAAACTATCTAGTCTCAGTAATATGTAACTTAGCATATTCGCTTACTAGTTAGCCGAAACTAGTGAAAACTCCTAAAAAGCACAAAGCAAGCAACATTCAAGCATCGAGCAATCAGAACCAAGCATAACGTAACCATATCATCCTATCATTGATTGATCAGTACGAGCATGCAAGTCTACAAGCTCATACAATAGGCATACAAATGCATCTCTCCTTTCATTCTATCATGCAAATATTGAGCAGATCCTTAGCGCTAACTAGCATGCGATTCAGAGTCTCACAAATCAAATGATATCAGATAAAATGTATGGGTATTTTGGGAAAACTTACTTAAGCTCGGTCGATTGCACGCACCACACCCTTTCTTGTATTACAAAACCCTTTTCTTTAAAAACATTTCTTTTTGAAAAACTTTACCAAATCCTCAGTTTGAGTTCAGTCACAACCGACAGTATCTCTGAATCTCTCAAACCAAGGCTCTGATACCAACTTGTAACGTCCAAAAAATAAGGCCCAAAAATTTCATTTTTTAATTTAATAAAACGGTAATCCAAAACGTTGTCATACAATCAAGGTAGACCAAGGTATATCACTACATCACAAAATAACAGAGTATATCACAACAATGCGAAATAGAGTGGTGTGTGCTCTGCAATCATCCCGAGCTCTTCCCCTTCGACCCTGAAGTACTTGAAACATAAACTGAAAAAACCGTAAGCACAAGATTAGTGAGTTCCCCAAAAGTCAATGGCATCGGGACTCGCCCGACATACAATACAATCATCAAGCCTTGTCCGGCATCGAGCCCCACTTGGTATACATACCAATCCATACACATGCAAGAGTGACGCAGACATCTAGCATCCTATCATAATAAACCATGGGTCTTCATTGGTTCCTTTGACCAGCTAAAAACAGTGAGGAAACTCACCTTAGACTGCTGATTCTCATAGATAAATCTCTGGCTGATGGCCCGCTAAAATCCTCGCACTATCAATCAAAAAATAACATCCAAGTAATAATTGGATCCCGACTCACACTAAGTGTTCAAACTATGGTAAAAGACCTTTTTACCCTTTACCTGTCGAAAAGGCCCAAATTCCAAAATAATCACCCAAAGACCAAATATGGCCCAATTTTCCTAATTGGGCCCAAGTCCCTCCGTGGGCCTTCATGCAAGTGAACCCAAAATAAAAGCATCAGCCCAAAATAAACCTGATGGCCAATAATGCCCTATTCACTAAAAGTTCAAACATTGCCCAAAGCCGAGAAGCCCAAACTTCTGAAGCCCATCTTCTGAGTACACTGGGCGTACTCAGCTCATACGCTTAGCATACACGCTTTGGGGCTAGTACGCGCAGCGTACCAGCTTGTACGTCCAGTGTACTCCCTAGTTGGCAAACCCTCATCAAAACACATAATCCATTTAACCCCTACTCCATGCTCTCAGATCTTGACCCAAAAGATGACTTATCACGTAATGTTGGCAACTTTACGTGCATGCATGGCTTAATGGGGCTCTAGAGCTCGAAAGAGCTTAACAAATGACTTAACACATTCATGAGTCTATAAACACCATAACGTTTGCATCTTTATGCTTCAGGAACCCTTAATATGTCCAGATCTAAAAGGTTAAACACCAGAAATGGCCTTAGCCCACAAGAACCAATCAAAAGGTACCAAAATAGCCATAAACAAGCCCAAAAGAAAATCTATACAATGAGTTATCAAGTTATGGGATTTATACCTAAAAATCCAAGAAATGGAGAAGCTAAAGCGGGATCTAAAAGCTCTTCTCCAAAGGATGAGTCTTCAATCATCTCCCTCCTCTTCAAGATGCACAAAACACACCAAAAATGCTTCACAAGAGCTCCAAAGCACCACACAAAGGGAAAAATTAGGGTTTGAGGATATGGAGGTCGCTCTAAAATGTCGAAGAGGTGGGTCAATGATGCTTAAATAGGGCACAAACCCTAAAAATTAGGGTTTGCCCATGGTCAGCATACGCCCAGCGTACGTGGTCGACGCCCACGATCAGACTTCAGCTTGTACGCCAAGCATTCCCTATAGTGCTTCCCGCGTACTAGCCAAAAGGACCAAAATTGCAATGTTTTGATATTCAAGGGTAAAAAGAGGACTTACAAGTTTCGAGTGTTACATCTCAATATCACAAACTTGAAACAAAAACTTTGTCATTTGCGCTCTCTTGTTCTTTCCAACAAACAAACACCAGGTGGTTAATGAATAATTTCACCATCTTCAAAATCATCAATATTCAGCTTTCCCTTCAATATAGATTGAGGGACTCTCAATATCTTTTTAATAGCTAAGGAAAGATCAATATCTGTGATTACCAAGTAGTCATAGTAGCTATCAAGAAAGTCTTTGATATGAGCAAACCCAATAACAAAATCATCCTTATTGGTCTCTATTATCTTCGACACATCAACAACAATCAGAATCTTCGTGGCCGTGATCAAATCATTCAAATTCATCAAAGGAAAATCTGAAATTATGAACTCAACATTATTTATCCTTATGAAAACATAACGAAAGTTTTGTAGCAGACCTTCGAACAAGCTATCACTAATAATATTCATCACTTTAACAATCTTCATCGAAGACCACATCTCATCTTCACTCTTCCCCAAAACTACGTGAAAGTGAATCTTCAACTTTCAAAATTATTCCTTATCATTGCAGTTATATGCAATCTTGAATCGTGAAGAAGTGAACAACATATGATTGATTGGAAAGTCGAGCTGATTGAAATCAAAATTTTATGTGTCGTAGCTCTTCTTTGGCACTTTTCGAAACTCATCATTCAATCCAACACCAACAATTTGTTCTATTGTTTCATAACACTGTTGCTTGTTGGGATCACCCTTGTTTAAGCCAGGTGGGTCATTTGCTCGTTGCCTTAGAATGCTATTTATTTGCCTTTGTTTTTCGATTTTGATGCTTTGTTGTTTTTTCATCTCTTCATCTGATAGAAAAACTGATATGGATTTCCCTTTATCTTTTGGATCAACATTCGAAGTTGATTTGATGGGGATTGAACTCGAACCTCCAACTCCTTCATTTATCGAGACTCCATTTGTCAAAGTCCTCAGTGTTATTGATGTTGTTGTTGTTGATGTTGAAAATGAACTTATTGGCTTCATCGAAATAGTTGGTGGGATTTGAGTGCTTGTTACCATTCCTACAACCACTCCAGAATTTTCACCTGCAGCTTTCGACGAACTAACATCCCTTCCTTTTTTCTCCCCCTTGCGACACTTGCACAACATGAGGAGAATTGGTTGGAAGTCGAAGAACTAAACTCCTGATAGGATCTAGTTCAGCCTTAATGTTTGTCTCGATAGTAGAAACCATTTGAGAAATGTATTTTGGAGAAATTGTCTATTGTGTCGAAAGCATAGTTTTGATTTCGGTTAAGAACTCTTCAACTTTAGAAAAATCTTGAGCATCCTCCTTCGTCTTTTCTTGAAGAACAACCATGTAATCTTTCTGGAAAGAAGTTATGTCTTTAATCAATCGGGTAGTTGCTTCAGCTACCACATCCAACTTCTTATGTAGAGTTGTAGAACTCTCAGCAAACTTCTTAACTTCATATTCCAACAGTGTTCGAATATATTTTATCTGAGTCTGTAAAAAGACTTTCGTTTCTTGAAGTTCTTTTGCAAGGATATCGTGAAGATCTTTCGAAACATCACGAAGCTTAGAAACTTCGCCATTAAGACTTCAATAATGATTGAGAACCCGTTCATCATTTCTCTAATCAACATCATTTACTAGAATCCACAGTCGAGACTCGTGAGCTTTGAGAAGATAGTCGAGAAACGTTTTGTGAAAGGCTCAATGATTACACCATCAAATGTAGGAGATATTGTTGAAATATGAATTGATGAAACAAGGGGTGCTGATAGTGGTGATTGAAAAACTATAGATGTTGAAATAATGGATGTTGTTGTTGTTTCGCCTGTTGATATCCCTTCATCAATGTTGACATTTGTGTCCTTACTAGATAAGTTCACGGTGATGCCTGGAATTTCGACCTCCTCCATTATGGACTTGATACACTAACTTTATCATGCTTTCTCTTATTTATCTATTAAGAAACATCCAAACCTCTACGCTTCTTTGATGCTGGAGATCCAGGAATCGAAACTTCACGAAGAAGAACTCCCTTCCTTGTAAATTGTAACTTTTTAATCTTTGTTACACTACCCTTGGAAGAAAAAGGATTTGAGGTTACGACTCCAGTGGGCTAAACACTTTCGACAATTTGCTCGTGAGTAGATGCCTTGATCGGAGAATCAGAAGGTTTCTTTGCTGGTTCCTTAGTTTGTTTAAGAACCCCAATTTTTGTTGGTATGGTTTCTTTAACAATCTCATCCTCCACAGCTTGTGGCTTTTCTACTTGTTTCTTCGTCTTTGGAGCCTTAGAGCCTTTCAATGTTCCTTCTACCCCTTTTTGAGAAACTTTAGGTGGAAGAACCCCAGTTTGATTAGAAGAATTAATAGAAACCAAATCTTGTACCAACAGTTGATTTTTAGGATCAACAAGTTTGAGAATCGAATCTGGAATACGAGCAACAATGGGAAAGACATTTGCATCATCCATAAAAACCCTTAGAGCAACCATTGTTGGAAAGTATGTAGTTTCGACAATGGATGGAACAAGAATGTTCTCTTGATTATAAGTCTCCTATAGAATTAAACCCCAAAAGCGAGCACTCGACACACTAGTTGCTAGTTTCGTCTGAGAGACTGAAATTCCAAATTCCCATAGGAGTGAAGCATAATCAATATTCAAACCAAAGTATAATCCCGCCATAACATAGTATACTTCTATCTTGGCTTTGTCAAGCCCAGAGCTTCTTCCTATCAAACACCTTAGAACAATCACAAACAAGAACCTCCAAACACATGGAAGACTGGACTTCTTAAAGTGGCTAATTGTAGTGAGAGTAGGTTTATGTCCCATTTCATTTAACATATGAATGAGTTGATCATTCATAACTTCATAGAAATAACCTGAAGTTGGTAGTCTCAGAATCTGGGCAAACTGTTTCGGAGTTACCTTCTTTGATTTTGAATTTGATAGCTGGAACGTAACCACCTTGGTTGTTTTGTTGAACACTACAATTGAAGAAGCAAGAGAGAGCCATTCCATTGGGATTGCGAACGATGAAGAAAGAGAAAACGATAACACATAATTATTGAGGGTTTAAACAAGCATCCGTAACTCCACATGGTATAAATCAAGAGATGGAACTAGACGAAGATTAGTGTGTTTGATCTTCATCATAGGTTATGAAACTTCTTCATCATTGGTTGTGGTTTGATCAACATTGTGTTGAGAGGCAGCCATTGTATAGATTTTAAGAGAATTTGGTAATCGAGGAACAGTTAGGGTTGTTGAGGTTCAATCAGAGAGCAGAAAGTTGAAAAGGAAATCATCATCTTCCTTTTTATAACTTGTGTTATTATTTGTATTTGAACTGGTACCCAGTAAGAAAATGCCACGTGGAGTGTTGGTTACTTAACCAACACCGTAAATATTGCCACGTCATAAAAGTGATCATCATATTTCTCATTGATTCCCGTGAAATTATGAACCGTACACTTCAGTTTGACTATTCGCTTTCATCAATCAGATTAGAACCGACATTAGTTTCGATACCAAACTTGGTCTAAAATGTTTCGTGACCAAAAGAGAACCATCCTTCGGCATGGAGGCTAGGCTCATTTACTTATGGGAATGATAAGTAAAATCATCTGCCATATTTTGCAAAATCTAAGTTTGAAGTTGGTAATACCCAAAACGTCAAAGATTTCAGTCCTTTTGGGTGCCAAAGAATGAGATAGAAGCAAGTAAAACAAATTATGATATCGTGATATCAAAACGCCTTTTGATTTAAAAACAGATTGATCCCGGGAAAAGATCTCTTATTCGACATCAAGAAAGATGAAGAATTGCTTGCGTGGTGTCCCGTGAACTACAATCGAATACTCATTGATGAGTATCGAAGGGCTTTTTTTTCTTTTGGTTTCGAAGGCAAATTCTATTTTACAAAAGATCGCAACTTAACATAAGTGTGATTCAGTTGTGCAAAATTACTTGGATGACCAGTGTAGTCAAGAAAAAGTGTGGTTGTTGATGATTATAAGTGACAAACGTTCAAAGAAGATATTCAAACGAAAATATTTCCAAAAAAAATGAAATACTGGTTCTTTTTGGGCAAAAGCATCTTGGTATTAGAATATTTTATCAAGATCATGTAATACAAATTTTGAATATCGATATCGTACAAAGAAACAAATGTTTCGTGAAAATCTTGAAAAAAGTTGTTCATCGTCAATTCTTTGATGTTTAGGTTTGTTGGGTTACACCATCATCACGGAAGATTAACTCACGATCATAAACATAAATGTGTGACATATCTACATTATTGTATGTTTCAACTAGAGATGTCGAGGATATACAGTGTAGTGTGTGATCGTGAAAGAAATTTTGGGTGAAAAAGATTTGATAAAAGAACTCATTGTACCTTTGCTATAAATTTGGACCAAGCACAATACTCTTGACACTGTATGAGAAGAGTAAGGTAGCTCGTCTACTAATGTGAATACCACATTACTGGGAAAAAACTTACGTGTGAAAGATTTCATTAATGTGTCGAACACAAGGAGTCTTTGAGGCTTTGAGGACAACATGTGTGATGCAACATGCTTCTAGGGACACTTAACTAGTACATAGTTTCGAATAATACATGTTCCCTTGATGAATATTCTCATGTAGCATGCAAAAGTGCATCATGTTGTTATAATGACATACCAATAAAAAATGTTAAGATTTTTTTTTTGTATTTTTGATTTAAAAAAAACAGAAACAAAAATAAGAAAATCTTTTTGAATTTTTAATTTTTGAAAAACACGAAAACAAAAATATGAAAATCTTTTCGGATTTTTGATTTTTAAAAATGAAACAACAACAAAAATAAATGAACTTAAAAATATTATCGAGATACTTTTAACCCATAATCAACTAGTCTTCAATAATAGGTTGTGCATCGAAGAACTTAAGCGCGTGCCAACAGCCATAGGCACTTTGACTTTCGTGTTATTCATCATGCCAAACCTTTCAAGCAAGTTTCGATTATATTTCTCTTGATTGGTAAAGATTCCTTCCCTGCTTTGACGAATATGTAAAGCCAAAAAATTATTAATGTTACCCATCATACTCATTTCGAATTAAATTTTCATTAATTCCTCAAATTCTTTAAACAATGAAGGATCAGTCGAACCAAAGATAATGTCATTGACATAAATTTGAACGAGCATCAGAAGAGCCCCTACTCTCTTTCGAAATAAAGTAGGATCAACAGATCCTTGTTTAAATTTAGAGATTTTCAAAAAAAAAAAATCAGTGTTGCATACCAGGCACAAGATGTTTGTTTCAACCCATAGACTGGCTTGTCTAAAATAAACAGTGATTAGGATACTTATCGTTAACAAAACTTGGTGGTTGTTCTACATACATCGTTTCTTCTAAAACACCATTTAGGAATGCACAGTTCACATCCATTTGGTAGAAATCGAAATCCTTATGTGTTGCATAAGCAAGAAAAATTCATATCGCCTCTAGTCTTGCAACAGGGGCAAAGGTTATCTCATAATCAATACCTTCTTGTTGAGAATAACCTTTTATGACTAGTCTCATTTTGTTTCTAACAATATTTCCTTCTTTGTCAGTTTTATTCTTAAAAATCCATTTTAAACCAATTATCAAAACATCTTGAGGTTTAGGAACCAATCTCCAGACTTTGTTTATATCAAATTCAACAAGTTCAAATTGCATTGCAACAACCCAATCAGGATGTTCAAATGCAATCTTTATTGTTTTGGTTCTAATTTCGAAATAAAAACATTAAACATACATAATTCTTGATGAACATTCAACACCTTATTTTTGGCTTGAATTTGGGCTTGTGTCAAGACACCGGAGTTTGATCACCAAGTATCTGTTCTTTCGGATGATTTCTTGTCCATTTGACCATAGGTGGATATGAAGGATCAAAGTCTAAAGGTGCATCTTCAAAGATGTCTTCAGCATCTGAAACCTCTCCTTCAATAGAGATATTATCAGTTACGTCATGAAAATCATTATTTTGATCATTACCACCAATATGATTCAATCCACTTGGCTCCCCCTCGAGCACTGGATTTATCGTATGACGCTCCCCTTGACATCAGCATGATTAGACATATGTTGTCCCTCGACATGATCTTGAGTTGTCATATGCTCCCCCTCAACATAAGAATCATGTCTTTCATTGTGGGACATAGAAATCAAGTCCCCCCCCCCCTCCACTTGATCATTAGTTGAAACATGTACTCTTTCAACATTCACTCATGAAGTCAACGAAGAATGTGCTTTGTTTTCTTCATTTGTGACTGTCGAATCATTAGAGTGTTTCGATGCCTCAAGAATTTGATTATCATCAACATTGATTTCTACATTAATTGCCCTATCAGGAATACCAACAATTAAATCAAGATCAATATCAAAAGTATGCATTTATTCAAATTCAACATTTGGTTCAACAATAATTGGTTGTTAAATGAATGACTGTTCAACACTTTTGACATAATGATCATAAAATGTGAGATTTAAAGTTTCTTCTAGCTTCCTTGTTAGCTAGTTCAACACCCAATAGGCTACAGAATTTTGAAAATATCCCAAGAAAATTCCCTCATTAGCTTTCGACTGAAATTTGGAATGATTATCCTTGAGATTCATGATGAAACATCTGCATCCAAAAACATGGAAAAGTTTAACATTAGGTTTCCTTTTGTTTATAATTTCATAAGGTGTTATGTTAAAACGACGATGTATGAAAGAACGATTTTACATAAAGCAAGCAGTCGAAACCTCTTCTGCCCAAAAGTACTGTGGCAAATTTGGATAAGTGAGCATCATTCTCGCCGCTTCGCACAAGGAACGATTCCTCGTTTTGACAACAACATTTTGTTACAGTGTGTATGGGGATGAAAAATTATGAGATACTCCTAGTTCAGTCAAAAATGAATCTAGAATTTGATTTTTGAACTCCGTTCCATTATCACTTTTTATCTTTCGAACTTTCCTTTTTAAGCTCAATTCTATGTTCTTGATATAATCAATCATCACTTGAGTAGTTTCAGACTTCTGTTGAAGAAAGAAAATGCAAGTAAACCATGAAAAATCATCAACAATAACTAGTATGTACTTCTTCTTTTTGAGAGACTCAACAGTCAAAGGTCCGCACAAGTCAATGAGAAGAATTTGCAAAGCTTCAATGATTTGTGAATCAATTATGATCGGATGACCTATACAATGTTGTTTTCCCTGTTCCTATGCAGCACACAATGAATCATTGTCAAATTTCAAAATAGGTAAACCACGAAAAAGATCATTACAAACAAGTTTGTTTAAATTTTTGAAGTTGAGATGAGAAAGACGTCTATGTTATAACCAGCTGTGATCTGAAGATGCTTTCGATAGCAAACACACTGAAGAAATGCTCACAATTGGTTTCATGTCAAGAGTGAACATGTCTCCCTTTCGTTTCGAATTTAGCAAAATCTCCTTTCTTTCCTTGTTGGAGATAATACTTCCTTCCTCATCAAAAAGAACCTGATTACCTGTTCCAACAACTAGTTGGGAAACATAATCAGATTGTGTTTTAATCTTCTACAAAAGTGACTCGATTCACTGTGAAATTCCCATTGGCCACTTTTCCAAAACCTTTGACTTTACATTTTTGGTTTCTTCCAAACTTGATAATCCCAAAATCTTCTATCTTTTGAAAATCTCTTGAATTTTCTTTCCTACCAGTCATGTGACGCGAGCACACTATCAATATACCAATTTTCATCATATTTCTCGTCACATAGTACAGGCGATCAGTTAGAAAATTTTAGATCCCCAAGACTTTTTGGGTCCTATTACATTAGTTGGAAACACATTGTGCAATGAAGAAACTAAGACCCAATTATGTACTTTCGGTTTGAATCTGTCAATTAAGTCAATTTAATTTGCAATATAATCATGCAATGGGGAAGGTTCAACTTTGATTTTCACTTTTTCATCCTTTTTCAGAGAAACACCGATTTTCATCTTTAA